GGAACATTGCCACGAATCGCAGTTCTCTGTGAATCCCTTTCTTGCAAAAAGATTTCCCTCATGCGTTGCACAGCATTGGTCTCTTCCTCGCTTGAATCGCTTGAGGAAGCGGCATAAGAAACCAAAGCCTCCGCCTGATCATCATCATCCACCACATCTGCCCACGCTCTGCTGAACCGATACGACAACCCACCACGAGGCTTCAGTTCCAGTGGTTTTGGTTTCTCCACCACTTCCGCCGGTTGCGCTCGTCGCTGTGAACGAGAGCGTGGCACCTGTCGCACCTGTTTTTTATCCAGCAAGGGCCTTCCCCTTTTTACAGGGTTTGATCTTGACCGATACTTTTTTGTTGGTGGGTTCACCGGCGGCATTCCAACTCCCACCAACTGCAGCTTCTGTACGCACAGTGGAGACCTCTGCGCAAGCGTCCAAGCGTCACGGTACCTGACCTTATCAAAAAGCTCCCGATAGGAGCCTCTCGGCATCGTTTTTGCACCGGAGCCTTCAGCTTCACGCATCTGAGTGAGGGTTCGCACCGCCTCTCTTCCAGCTTCCTTGCTCCCAGAAGATTGTTGTGCTCGTACAGATGCATCGGAAGGAACTGCTTTTTCCGGTCCTCCCGGACGATATCGGACACCACCCACCAATTGCAAGATTTTACATGCTGTCACTTTGTTGATCCCTTTGTCAACCAAATCTTCCACAAAGATGAACTCTTGCAAGTCGGACACGTTGGTCACACCAAGTGTAATCATCACCTCACTTACATGAGGGGTATACACCCAAAGGTGTTCGTTGCGAGCCATCCAATTTTCAATTGGCTCCTCTGGATTTTGAAGCCGAGTACCAGTGGACTCAGCCACCGAATTCTTTTGTTCATCATCTTCTGCTTCATCCAGATTACCCTTTTCACCTTCTTTTTGTGACACATTGGTCATTTGCAGCGCTTTTGGTGCCGAGGAGGACGAAGATTCTGCTCCCCCACTTACCGGTGGTTGAAAGGCGTTCCTGTCGGGAATCTCCAATCCTCTTCCCCTTTGAAATGACACATGGTTCGCCACATTCACCAGATGCTTCAATTGGGCCAGCCGGTCTTCAGACATTTCTTCGTGAGAATACTTGCAGCCAAATCGCACACGACATCTCCCTTTGAGATAGTAGTCGAAACAGCAATGGTGGAACCCCGCGTCCCTTAGTGCCTTCCTGGAAGCATTGTCCCAAGATTTGCCAGGCTCCCAAGTCCCTTCCAATGCCATGTCATCGTCGTGAAGATACCTGCATGCAGTCCCATATTTACAACCACCTTGATTGTAATACAGACACAGCCGTTTCTTCGTTTCACCCAACGTAGGCTCACCTTTTGATGTCCCCTTGCCATAGTTGTACTGGGCACGGAAGGCCGAATCCTCCCGCTCCTGCTGCACCTCATCCACTGCACCTTCATCAGTTGGAGGGCCACCGATGTCCCCATCCTCGTCACCAGTTTTTTGGCTGTTCCTTGGCTCAGTTGGCTCTCCTTCAGGCCACCCTTCACCATAACGACGATGTTCATAGGAACACCCATCTCCATTTCGACACCTCCCTTGATTGAAGAACCTGCACAGCTTGCTGTGTCCAGGTGACACAGTCTTTGGAGTCATGTGAGCCTTTTTGTACTGATCAGGATCCATATAGGCTTCCATTGGCCTGTTTTCCCTCTTACTCATCTCCTCGATTGCACCATCAAGCTCTTGCAGAAATCGCTTGGTATCCAACCACAGCTCGTTCCAAAGCTCATCTTTCCCTTTGCTCAGCAACATTGCCACCGTTTCACCCACGACTGGTCCACTAAATCTCCTTTTCTTGCGTGCCAGTTCGTAGAGCGCGTTGTGGTACTGCTTCCGGGAAAAAGTGATTGTTTTTTCCAAACCTGCACGTTCTGTCCCCTCGAGCTTCCAACCATCACTTTGCAAGATGCTGTATGCGCTCCGAGCCTCAACGTTCAGGAATGTATGATCTGCGATACACTCCATAATCACGTCCATTGGACGACTCAGCAACATCCCAGTGATTTTGCCCACATAGTCATTATCTATTGTTTCATCTTCCAGGAGATTTCGATAGATCTTTTCTCCATAGAGCTGCTTCTGCTCAGCCTCCTCTTGTTCCTTAGAGGATGTTTTTGAATCGGCAAACCACTCGCGAGACTGCCGTTCTTCCGACTTCCAGTCCCATTGACCGTCGGAACCTTGGTACCATTGACCAGTCTGCCATGAGCCTGTCCACCATGTACCCCAGCCGCTGTCTTTCCATTTGCGCAGCGTCGAAGAGGAGTCCTCCTCGTCCTCTTCCAAAACCAGAAAGGTGTCCAAGATTATGGTACCATCATCTTCCACTCGTTTCACTGTTCCATTGACAGTATCACCAAATTTGAACTGATGTGCGTTGTTCCCTTCTGCAGGAATCAATACATTCATATCTCCATGGTCCAAAAAGGCTCCATACCCATTGATGCAGCGCACTAGACCACTGATCTCATCTCCCTCTTGGTAGCAATGTTTCCCAGGTGATTCCAAGGATCCCGCACGGGGCACTTTCTTTGCGTGCTCTTCAGAAACCATCTCTGTATCATCGGCTCCTGGCACATCCTTTGTTTCCACCTTTGGGTCACACTGCTCGTCCTGCTCCGGCACGAGTTCCACAAGATCATCCATCTTGTGCTCCAGGGACTCAGGACCTTCCTTTTTTCCAGCCAATGGCCTTGCTTCATCTGCTGCAGTTCGCTCGGTGTCGACTTCCGGCGAGCTTTCAGATGGCAACACTTCTCCCTTCCTGGGAGTGGACCCACCATTGGAGTCCTTTTTCAAACCTTCTGCAGCAGGCAAATTTTCTTCCACTACAGGGCTATTGGATTGGTCATCCGCGGTAGGCACATTTTCTTCCACCGCAGGCTCCTTTGGCTCCATGGTTTCCAAAAGAGAATCACCACTGTTATTGACCACAGCTGCCTCATTGGCTCCGGTGTAGCCTTCGACATTTCGTTCCTCGCTGCTAACTTCAGGCTGCACCAGTGCGTCCACCTGTGAACCTCCATCGTCAGCTGCTACGGAGACCTGCGCCCCATTGTTGCAGTCATCCGCGGAACGTGACACCATATGCGCCTCAACCCGTGCTTTTTCTGCACTCCAGGTACTATCTGGCACGTTGACCCGCGCTTCATTGGCGCTCCAGGCCTCATCTTTCCGATCAACCGTGTCTCCAGCAGTTTCAGAAGTTTCCTTTTTCCCTTGAATGGCAGAATCATTGGCACCAACCGAAGAGACCTCCTCAGGCGTAACGCACGACTTTTTCCCTCCGTCATCCAAATCTCCAGGACCATCTTCCTGAACGACAGGTACCACATCCACCACTCGCTCTTCTGCAGCCGACACAATTCCGATCTCCACATTGGGCATTTTTTCTTCTGGACCCACCGATTCCACCGCTGCCACACCCTCAGAAAGCGCCTCCATCTCTTCCCGATCCAGATGTTGAGCTTCAGCGATGTCTGCTCGGTTTCCAGAAATCCCCTCTTCATCAGGAGAACCCGAGGTCGGGGCGTCACCACCAGCCCTAGGACCGCTATCCCTGATAGTAGAGGAAAAATCTTTTTCACCTACACTATTTACACTACCCTGGAATGCCTTCGTAGATTCAGGTGTCGGTGTAGTCGATAAAGGACCCAGTTCAGTCTCCACTTCCAGCCCATTGCCCGAAGGAGACCCAACCACGTTGTCGCTTTTCACCTTTTCACCTACATCCGACAGCGTCCACTTGCTTTCCTGCGTATCCAGGCAGTAGTAATATTGTCTCCCATCTTCGTGGAAGTGCCATTCCCACGTTGTCCCATCGCACGCTTTGATCAGATGCTCATCTTTCCGAAAACCATCCCTTTCAGAGACTTGATGCATCTCATCCTCTTCTTCTGACAACTGGCGCAACCTTTCAGCCTCCATCTGTAAGATCTCCTCTTCCCCCATGGCGTATTCAGCAGTTGGTGCGGCTTCAAAGCTGTCCGCACCCTTCTGTTCGTAACCGCTTCCACCACCCAGGGAACTCGCCCAGGGATCCCCTTTAATCTTGTTCAGAGGCCTCCTGGCAGCTTGCAGCACTTCTCCACTCAGATTGGTCTGAGACCCTTGGTCTACCATTCGGCCCGAAGTCGAAGTAGACGGCTGATACCCATGTTTGTGCAACACGCGTAAAACAGTCACCTCCATTTCACGGTCTATACCACCAGTCGCGTCCCAGCTCCTTTTTTCACCAGGCTTTGGCGATACAGAAACAGCACGTCCTTCAGCTTCAGCATTGCTAACCATATCCACATTGGGATTCATACCCACATTGGAGTCTTCTGCAACCAAGGCTTCTTCCAGATGTTCTTCAGCGCCAGGCATCACCTCTTCCAGCACCGCCCTTTCACCCAGAGACTCAGCTGCACCATTTCCAGCTCCACCATTCTGTCCACCATCCGAGGAAGGCTGGAGCCATCGTTTGGGAGAAGGCATTGCTTCTTGATCCCAAAAAACCTTGAAAGAACACTTAACCGCAGGGAACCTAATTTGGGCTCATAACCTACGGGGGGCAACCAAAGGGGGAAGGGATCAACCCCGAAGACCGCCCAGAACTTATATTCCCCAGATCGACCAGCACAACAAACACAGAACACGGACCAGGAGAACCAGGGAAGGGAGTAAAGGGGGCCTATGCCTAAGCACCTAGGAACCAACCCCAACCCCAACCACGCGGGCTCTACCTTTTTTGAGCTTGTGGCCTTAGTACTTCTGGCCATCCTTGAGCCAAACAAGATTTCCGGGTTTGTTAACCCTTCCAACTCCCAACACTAACTCTTTTCTACAATACCAGCTGCAGCTCCGCACCCTAAACCCTAAACCCTAAACCCTAAACCCTCAACCCACTGAGGCGCTTGCCACTGGCGTGCGGCGGCCAGGCCGTGAACTCTGTGGACGACTTGGACCTGGATGACCTCGGCCGGGGCCCCCCGGGAACCGAACGGAAATTAGGGCAACCCATGGTTTAGGGTTTAGGGTTTAGGGTTTAGGGTTTAGGGTTTAGGGTTTAGGGTAAGTCAGAAACGCTAAGCCTTTTAAGGTTTACCTAGGGGGTTCTGGGGTAGGTTTTGGATGTGCAGGGGCTAGGTATTCTGGGGAGGAGGGCTTGCGGGTGGAGGGTTGGGGTTCGACGTCCTCTAGAGCTAGGACCCTCTTACCCCAAACACATCTGCGCTTCACTTCAGGCTACGCCGATCTCGTCTACGAGCAGTCCCTAGAGGATCCTTCCGTCGTGGGAAAGCCCAAAGCCCCGGAACAGAACTCGGAAGACCGACCAGCTGAAGACGTTGTATAAGGGGAGCACAAAGGGGTTGGGTTTCGAGGCTCGGAGGGTCGGGTTTGGGGTTGGGGTTCGGGGCTTTTGGGAGCCCCTTGACACAATAACATCATGCTGGGGATGTCGAACCGCTGCCGCAACAGTTCCCCTCCAAATCCTCCCAAAGCTCACCCTAAAGTTGTCTGGCTCCCTTCGCGGTGTGTACTTGTTGAGGAGCTCGAAGTTTCGAACCCATTGGCCCGATACCCCTGTCAGAGCCACAACAGTCTGAACCCTGAAGGACGACAAGTTCACCTTCATCGAGGGCGTGTTGGCCCTAGACTGCTTTGGAGGGGCTTCTCGGGGTCTTCGGGCTGTTGCCCCCTAGAAGCCGTGTGAGAGCCCGAGAAACACCCAAGCCCTAAACCCTAAACCCTAAACCCTAAACCCTAAACCCTAAACCCTAAACCCTAAACCCTAAACCCTAAACCCTAAACCCTAAACCCTAAACCCTAAACCCTAAGCCCTAAGCCCTAAGCCCCAAACCCTAAACCCTACTTGAACGCTACTCTTCGGGTTCGGGTGCATGGGTCCAGGCTGGCCCTTTGAGGGCTTCGTGACGTCGATTTCAAGCGAGAAGCCCTAAGCAGGTAGGTAAAACTCAGCCCCGAACACGAAGTTTCAACGGAGCCCAAGAACTCTTAAGCCCCCAAAAAAACCCCAAGAATGCTCAAGCCCCAAAAAGACCCCCCAACAAAATTCTTAATGAAGCCCCCCAAAAGCCCCTAAGAGCTCTTCAGCCCCCCAAAAAGAAGCCCTCTGGAACCCCGAAGTGCCCTAAGTGGCAGACCCCTCGGCTGGCAAGGTGAAGAACCCGCACAGCTGCACGGTCTTGATCCAGGGCTCCACGGATCACGCGATTGCGCAGATGAAGGCCTTGGAGGGTCCCGGTTTGCTGTGTAGGTTTGGGGTCTATGGGTCCGTTGAGGCCCCCCTGATAACTCCCCTCGGGTTTGGGGTTTAGGGTTTAGGGTTTAGGGTATAGGGTTTAGGGTTTAGGGTTTCGCACAAACTTCACATTGCCGCCGTAGCCTTGCGATGCCAGGATGCCATCAAAGATGGGCTGCGCGCCACCCAGAACTGCGTTGAGGACGAGGCAGGGCACACTCCCAAGAGAAGTTCGGGGTTTTGGTTTAGGGTTCAGGGTGTCAGGGTTTAGGATTCAGGGTTTAGGGTTAGGGTTTCAGGGTTCAGGGTTTCAGGGTTCAGGGTTTCAAGGTTTAGGGCTTAGGGTTTCAGTGTTTAGGGTTTCAGGGTTTAGGCTTTCAAGGTTTCAGGGTTTAGGGTTTTGGGATGCTGAGGGTTTCTGTCTCGTCAGACCCAGGTCCACGGAAAAGCTCCAGAAGACCGTCCAGCCAGCAAAGCTCTGAACCCAAAATGGAGGTTTGCGATAATGAGGGACCCCTAGTCTAGGCCCCCCAATTAGATCCCCCTTATACCTCAGGACCCCAAAACCCCCAATATCGTAAAGCCCCAAATCGGTGTCTAGGGTAGTCTAGGGTCTTTTCGGGGTTTCGGGATAAGGGAGGTAAGAAGCCTTCTGCCCACCACCATCGACCCTGACCCGCACCATGCCGGCCCTGGGTGCATGCTTGGAGGCCATCGTTCCCGGCGCCGGAGCTTTTGAGGCCTCCTCGCGGGTGTGCAGGGTGTTGGGGGGTCTAGGGATTAGGGTTTAGGGTTCAGGGTGTAGGGTTTAGGGTTTGGGGTGCCGGCAGCTACGGCAGCTGGAGTGTAGGGTACGGAACAAAGATCAGTTTGGGCCCACGACAGCCCGTCGCCACATCCCTCGAACGAAGAACCCTCAATCCGAAGTGGCACTGTTTCATAGAAGGGGGTCCCCTCATGAAAATCCGAAAAACCGACCCTAAACCCAAAAACCCTAAACCCTAAACCCTAAACGCAGGGCACATCCCGAAATTCCCCATCCTTGCTGTAGACACTTGTGCCCAGATTGCCGCCCACGTGCACCTGGAGCAGTTCAAGCGAACTGTGGAGGGCAAGCCACGTTTAGGAGCCTGCATCTCAGCTGTCAAAGCCGAGGCATTAGTCTATCAAGATCGAGATCTTGGACCAGGAGTAGTGGGAGCAGTAGTCAGAGGAGTAGCAAGTGAAATCGTAGTTGCCCTGCCGGGGCGCAGTCGTCTTCCGCCTTCCTCTGCGGATGCGTCGTCGTCATCCTTGCCGTCCTCCTCGTCCTCCTCGTCCTCGCAATTTGTAGTGTGGTGGGAGTAGAGGAGGACCAGCCGACATTCTCCTCACCAGCCCACTCTCTGCAGCATCTTCTTAAGGTTCCCTCTAAGCCCTAAGCCCTAAGCCTTAAGCCCAAAGCCCTAAGCGCTAAGCCCCAAGCCCTAAGCCCTAAGCCCTAAGCCCGAAGCCCTAAGCCCTAAGCCCTAAGCCCTAAGCCCTAAGCCCTAAGCCCTAAGCCCTAAGCCCTAAGCCCTAAGCCCTAAGCCCTAAGCCCTAAGCCCTAAGCCCTAAACCCTAAACCCTAAACCGAATCTGCGGCCCAGGTGGAAATTTTTGCGAAGGCGCTGCTAGTGGTGCCGAAGACACTCCTGGAGAACTCTGGCTTGGATGTCCAGGCGCTTCCCTGAGCAGAGCCTCTGAGGGCTTAAGGGGCTTTCAGGGTCCCTTAAGTTTCCATCCCCAAACCCTAACCCTAAACCCTAAACCCTAGACCCTAAACCCTAAACCCTAAACCCTAAACCCTGAACCCTGAACCCTAAACTCTAAACCCTAAACCCTATGGTCAAGGGATGAGGGGGAACTGCGGGGTAGAGGGTGGGTGCATTCAGGGAGGCGCGCGATTCCGGCAGGCATGTCAAGTTCCAGCATTTCGCGCCCCGATGTGTTCACCCCCTTTGCCATCGTTTTTTATTTGCCCAAGTTTTTTTATAACTGTAAAAAAGTTTTGCCTACAATGCGGAAAGTCTGAAGGTTATACCATTCTCACTCCAGTACCTAAGATGGTAGAAGGTATCCTATACGATCTACTATATCATACTACTATGCTATAGTACAAAGTATACAGTATCTCTCTCTCTCTATACATCGGTATACATCCTCCTTCATTTCAGGATTTCTTTTTCTCTCTCTCTCTCTCTCTCTCTCTCGCTGCCCTCTCTCTCTCTCTCTGTGTCTCGCTGCTGTCTCTCTCTGTCTCTCTCGCTTTCTCTCGCCCCGTCTCATGTCGAGCATTCCACTGGCCAGGACAAGCTTCTCAGAGTGCTCGCCGACCGCGAGAACAAGCATCGAGTAGCTCTTGCCTCGGAGCGCTGGGGCTTTTAGGGGTTTTTAGGGGGTTTAGGGATTTTAGGGTGATGGGGAATTTAGGGGTTTTAGGGCTTTAGGTGTTTTAGGGGCTTAAGTGGTTTAGGGGATGTAGGTGTTGAGGGGCTTGAGGTGGTTTAGGGGGGTTTTCGTGTTTTTTGAGCGGCTCATTCCGGGCTCGGGGGTTCAGAGGTTGGGCAACCCCCAAGGATTCGAAGACCTGAAGCAGTGAAGAGTTTATGGGGGTACGAAGAGGCTTTCAAGTTGATATTGATGGAAGTTCCGAGTTAGTCGAGGATCCTCACACAAACTCCCCCAACTGGGTGGGAGTCGTTTTGAATTAGTGTCGGGTTCTCTTCTTCATAAAGCGGTTCCAGTGCAACAGGTATCAGTACGGAATAGCCCCCACGGTGCTTCCTCCCCCTTCTCGACTACGCTCTCCTTGCCCTTGACTGAGCGCCAGGTCGGCGTCAGCGTGGCGAGTGGTGACCCTATCGACCCTGCCATCGAGGGTCTGGGGGCTCAGGAGCAGAAGGTCTATATACACACAATTATGCTCGTATTATTGATATTGATGAAGTTGGGTACTTTTAGTTGCCTATTTTTGTGGCTAGCCCTACAAACCCTACACCCTCAACCCTAAACTCTTAACCCTCACAGCCCTAAACACCCCCAAGTTCTTCGGAACTCTGAGGTATTTACGACAACTTCCTGGTGAAGAAGCAGATGCTTGGCCTGGTCTAAGCCTGAGACGCGGCGTGTTCACGAAGGAGCCTAGGGGTTTAGGGACCCTAAACCCTAAGCCCTAAACCCTAAACCCTAAACCCCAAACCCCAAACCCCAAACCCCAAACCCTAAACCCTAAAGGGGTGTAGGGTTTGGGGGCTTACAGGGATTTAGGGGTTCGGGGCCCCTTCCTCTTCATCAGCAACGGCTCGTCCCCCAAGCAGCAAGGAGCAGAAGGCAAGCCGCGAGCGCGCCTTGAATGGGCCGTTTAACTAGCTGAAGAATCTACAGGCCCCAAAGTCCCAAGTCCTCAAACTCCAAACACTTAAACCCACCCTCAACCCTAAACCCTAGACCCTACACCCTAGACCCTAAACCCTAAGCCCTAAACTCTAAATCCTAAACCCTAAACCCTAAACCCCAAACCCCAAACCCCAGACCCCTCTGATTCAGGCACCAGTGCTGGCTGAGCAGCTTTTGCTCGTGGACGAGGCGCAGCGTTGGTTCGGGTTCTGGGGGTCGGGGTTTTAGGGAAGGGGCCGTTCCCCTTAAACACTAAACCCTAAAAATACTGAGTCCTAAGCCCTAAGCCGTAAGCCCTAAGCCCTAAGCCCTAAACCCTAAACTAAACCCTAAACCCCGGATGTACCCTCTACCCCGCACCCTAAACCTAAGGCCCTAAATCCTAAGCCTGAATCCTCAAGCGTTTCAAGCGCTAAATCTTGAACCTCCTTGGGCCCCCAATGCCGAACACCCCCCCCCCCCCCGCCAAACACCCAAAACCCCTTAAACCCTCCAGGCTGCCTGGTTTGGAGGCCCCTGAAAACCCTGAAGAGAGCCAGGTCATCCGAGCTGGCAAGTCCATGAAGAGCGATGGCGGTATGCAGGGATAGGGCTCAAACTCGGCCCCACTGAGCATCGGCCGGCCTGTGGTACGAGATAGCCATGGAAGCAGGCGAGTGCCATCGTAGAAGCTCCTAAGGGCATGGGTCATGTCGATAAACATAAGCAACACACACACATAATATGTATATATATATATATATGTATGTATGTATGTATGTATGTATGTATGTATGTATGTATGTATGTATGTATGTATGTATGTATGTATGTATGTATGTATGTATGTATGTATGTATGTATGTATGTATGTACTGTTGTATGCATGTATGTATATGTATATGTATATGTATATGTATATGTATATGTATATGTATATGTATATGTATATGTATATGTATATGTATATGTATATGTATATGTATATGTATATGTATATGTATATGTATATGTATATGTATATGTATATGCATATGTATATGTATATGTATATGTATATGCATATGTATATGTATATGTATATGTATATGTATATGTATATGTATATGTATATGTATATGTTTATGTATTTGTATGCGTGTATGTGTATGTGTATGTGTATGTATATGTATATGTAGATGTATATGCATATGTATATGCATATGTATATGCATATGTATATGTATATATACAGATATATATATATATATGTATATGTATATATATATATATGCGTATTTCGGTAAACATAGGCATATATGTATATATACACATATATATATATATATATGTATATATGCTCATACATGTACATATATATATATATATATATGTGTGTGTGTATATATGCGTACATTGTATGCAGGTGTCAGTATCTTATGTGTGTGTATACCTTTTCAATCCAAGACCACCGTATGTTCGCGAAGTCGGCTCTTATGTCGGCGAACCTGCGAACACGGGAGTCCCACAAGGCCCCCGCAGTCCCAGCAGAGGGGATCTTGCAAGTCTCGCCACTTCTGGCTCTCGTGCCCGCCATGCTTGTCTGTGTAGGGAAACAGCTTCGGCCAGTGTCACCGGATGCAATCGACATCCGCCAGGAGGGATCTGCACTTGCGCATCGCCAGTGGTCTCAGTTCCGAATCGCATCTTTGCTTTGGTGCAGGTTCACTCTGCAACCCGACTAGTGCGGCAGGATGCAGATGGGGTGCACGACAGAAAAAGCCCTCTTTGAGCGCTTGCTTTGAGCGATGTTCTGACGGCAAGTGTGTAGCTCTGAAGCGAAGGTCCTGTTGGCATCTGCCTGGCAAGTCCAACCCTAAACCCTAAAGCCTAAACCCTGTTGGCATCTGCTTGGTAAGTCCAACCCTAAACCCTAAACCCCAAAGCGTGTGCAGACTTTTCCGCCGTTCGGTATTCGTCATTCATGGAGTGAAGCTCATGTGGATTTAGCCGAAGCCCAGGAGCCATGAACATTTTGGGCGTTGTTCTACATTGAGGCGTCCCCTAGTATATGTATGAATATGTATATATATATATATATATACATACACGGTGTATGTATGTATATATATATATATGTATTCTATATATATATATATATGTATGCCATATATATATATATATATATATATATATGTATATATATATATATATGCATCCATACTTATACATGCATGCATACCTTTTGTGCGGAGTTTTTTTTTAAACATGCCAAAAAGGGGGATCCTAATCTATAGCGGCCAGCCCCACAAGCAGAAAAGCACGACAGAGACTCACCTGCCCATCTCGCGTGGAGCATGGCGGGAAGCTCGCACTGCAGACTGTAGAGGGTTTAGGGCTTAGGGTTTAGGGTTTAGGAGGGTTCTCTACTGCTTGCTTAAGCCCCCCCCCCCCAAAGCAACAGAATACAAGCTCTGCGGAAGGATGTCTTCTTTTTTTATTTTTATTTTTTCTGGGGTTCTTGAGAATATAGTAGGTTTGGGCTGCCCATGACCTCCACACTTTCCAGAAGTAGGCCAAGGAGGCTCAGGGCGGTGATGACGCCTTTGAGACGGTCTCTAGACTGTCGCGGTACCAAGTTTCGAGCGCACTGCTGGAGTGGGCAGGAGAAATTTCTTGGCTCCGAGGCATAGAACATGGGGCCTGGGCAAACTTTCCCTTCCCGAAACGCGAACCCACATAGGTTGAAACCTTAAAACCCGAAACCCTAAACCCTAAACCCCTAAACCCTGAACCCTGAACCCTAAACCCTAAACCCTAAACCCTAAACCCTAAACCCTAAACCCTAAACCCTAAACTGTCGGGCCTGTGAAGAGCATGGGCCCAACACAGGCACTCGGAAGGACTGGCAGATCCTCGGGCTGCTGTTGGAACCTCGAAGCCCTGAACCCTCAATTCAAAACCCTGGAATCCTCGGGTTTAGGGTTTGGGGGTTAGGGTTTCGGGTTTCGGGTTTCGGATTTAGAGTTTAGGCTTTAGGGTTAGGGATAAACAGCTGGCAAGAAGAAGAAGCCCAAAACCCATAGGGGCAACATAGCAAGCTGCACGCTTAGCTTCTTCAGGACGGCCGTGCCGTCGAGATGACCAGAGGCACAAACTTTTTAGGGGTTTTAGGGGACATCTGGGAGTTTAGACTGAGGGTATAGGGTGTAATTGGGTTTAGGGTTCAAAGGCAGTTATAATTGGGTTTAAGAGACCTGGGGGTTTAGAGTTAGGGTTTAGGGTGTTTAGGGTTTAAGGGCAGTTCTCTGAATCATGGTGACATGTGGGTTCTTTTGCATACGGGAAAGCCTTAGGTCGAGGGTACTCGTTAAGGGACCAACAACTTAGCGACTGCCATGAACTGCCCATATAGCCTTTTGAAGCAGGAAATTGCCTCAATCTACCCTTTCCGCAGGAAATGACTTTGATCACTGGGTGTATGTATCTGTACCTGTATCTGTATCATTTCTGTATCTGTATCTGTACTGGTATCTGTATCTGCATTTGTATCTGTCAAAAGGATATATATATATATACATATATGTAGATACAGACATTACAAATTATATTTCAATCTATGTTTTCACATCTGTTTGTGTTTTGTGTAAAAACACATTTGAGCTCCTACCTTTCCACACTTTGAGAAGGGAGCGTGCGGGATGCTTCAGAACCCATTAAGGGGGGGGGTCGTTCCCAATCAGGGCTTACTTTCAGAGGCTTTAGGGTTTAGGGTTTAGGTGTGGACTAAGGAATCCTGTCGTAGAAAAGTGCCCCCCCCCCCCCCCCCCCCCCCCCGAGGCCCCCGCCCCTTAATTCTCTTCCCCTTCCCCCTTGCCCTAAACCCTAAACCCTAAACCCTAAACCCGAAACCCGAAACCCTAAGTTCATCACTTTCTTGCAGGTGCTCTGGGTAGCTGAAGCTAGTATGGACCACTTCCACAGCACCTCACGTCCTTTTTAGAAGGTGCCGTCTTCCAACTTCCAAAAGGGAGCCCCCCCCCCCAAGAAAGGGACCCTGATTGAGAGAACTCGCCACCTGAGAGGCTCTGCCGCCGTGCCGCGGCTGGCCAGGCCTGGAGTGGAAGCTTTGTTGCTCGTAGTTCGGGTTTAGGGTTTAGGGTTTAGGGTTTAGAGTTTAGGGTTTAGGGTTTAGGGTTGAAGGTTTAGGGTTTTGGGGTTTAGGGTTTAGGGGAAGCTGGCCAACAAATGGGGGTCCTACAACGAAGGCTTTTGGGGGGAAGATGAGGAGCTACCTATGTTGGAAACTGCCCCAAAAGGGTGAGCATGTGCTTCCAAAATCTTCCCAAGTTTCACCCGAACCCCAAACTCCTAAACATCTTCATTCAAGCCAAGCTCAGAGTGTTCGTCCCGTGGATACATTCTGGGTGTACTCAAACTAAAGCCCGAAAGCCCTCACAAAAAACAGCACCGAAGACGCCTCAGAAAGCTTCCCCGAAACCAGGCCGACGACAGGCCCCGAAGGGCGCGCTGCGCGAGCCTTGGGACTTCTGACGGGGGCTTCTTTAAGGTTGCAGGGTGTTTCATTCGGGGTTTAGGCTTAGGGGGTATCCGGATTTTGGGGTTTTAGGGCTTAGGGGTATCAGGGTGTTTTGGTTTTAGGGCTTCGGGGTATCAGGGTTAGTTTTGGGTCTGTGGGTTCAGGGGGTTAGAGTTTTGAGGTTTTAGGCTTTTTGGGGGCCAAGGATGGCGGAGGAGCTGCCGGCTGGGTTTTTTGTTTCTGCACAGGAGCGGAGTTCTGCGGTATGCTGCAGAAGTACCATGAGCCCTGCTTGATTCACTGACTGTTTATAGGACCTGAGGACCAGATGAGATGGGGGTAGATTTCTGCGGTTTGCCAGGCTTCCTGAACATCCACAGCCCCACATCTCTGAACCCGGAACCCACAACCTTCGACCTCTAGACCTATGCGCTCAAGCGCGAAAGAATCAGCCATTCACGATTTACAGTTTAATCGATATAGGCCTTTCAAACCCAACACCATCAACACCCCAAGCCCAAGCGAAGCCTCCGTATGAAGGTCTCAGAGTCGCCAAACGGTTGCGCGCTCAGCTAGGGCTTAGGGTCCAGGCTTCCGAGTTGTTAAGGGTATGCCCAAGGGATATATGTTGAGTCTTTCTTAGAATATGGACATAAGAGCCCAGAACCCTCTTGGGTTGGTTGTCTCAAGCTTTTAGAAAATAGCTGCAATAGTAATCGCAGCTTTTTTAAAAAAGAAAAACAGTCATGATGTTGATGGTGTTGGTATCTTACAAAGGTCATACGGTTAATTGTTAAAAAGCAGAATTAACTAGTACTAAACATGATAGGCGCGATATTAGCAAGCATTGCAAGAATTGCAACATCAGCAACATCAGCAACATTTTTAATAGCAAGAATAGTAAGAATAGCAAGAATAGCAATAGTCATAGCAGTAATAACAGAAATATTCGTAGCAATAGAAGTAATGGTAGAAATAGTTGCAATCGCAGTCATAGTAAGAATAGTAGTAGCAAGTGTGATAGTCGTCATAGCACTAGGAGAAGTACTTGCCGAGTAGTGAGAGTAGCATAAAAAGTAGCATAAGAGCCTA